TCTTTGACATTTGTACATGTACTGAATACAGAACACTAACAAAAGCTCTGCAAGCTAGAAGCTGTTCTTTTCTCTGCTTTTCTCCTTTTTCAAAATACCACAAATATCATTAGGTTCAATGTGTCACATCATACTGTGAAGCAACCACGAAGATAACAACGTCCAAAATAATGCATTGACAAAATTATTTTATAAAGAGATCCTCCTTTTTCCCTACAATGTGGGATTTAAAGTAAAATTTATTTCACTGTAATATTAAATATATAAAGCGTAATGTTGATCTCTTGGAGATGGTGACTATTTTTTGGAAATGAAGGTACAAGAGATTATGAAAATAATAAAGTTAAGGTTTAAAGAAAGAGGTGCATGCACACAAAGTAAAAGGGAATATAAAAGACTGCAACTCAAAATATGTCATTAAAATGCCCTACCTGGCTAAAAATTAAACGTTTTTAAAAATAAACTTTTTTCAATGTTTAAATTTAGAAAAATACTTCTGAGGAGTTTGTAAATAATCACAGATCCAACTAATTTCATCATATGAAATATTGAAAGGATATTAAGATTGCAGATGGGAACGCTCAACAACAAAATTTAAGTTTGCTCCTTAAATATAATGATTTTTTACATATAATTTCAGGATGTTTGGGCATATTTTTGTAATCTATTACAGCACATGAGTTTGTTACCTACTTAGACATATGAAAATTATTAAGAATTTCTGAGTTTTTTCATACAAGATCAAAATTTTAAGCAATTATGAATGTTTACATTATTTCGTATCATGTTTAGTACACAATTCTGACTGAAAACAGTATGGTTTAATGACTCACTTAGAAGCAGCAATTAAGTGTCAGCTTCACTTTAAACTAAAAAGATTCCTTTCTTCAAAATTAGTTAGGTGGGTGATACAATCAGCTGTGAAGGTAGTACAGCTGAACATATAGGTAAGCAAATTCCTTCATTTTTCAGGTGTTTGCACATCGTGAGCAGTATGTTGGCTAAGTGCCATTTAATTTATTTTTTTTTGGCTATGGATCCTAAATCTGATTTACGCACAGCAGTGCACAATGGGTCCACATGAATCTTGGAAGTGTATTTTAGGCTTTATTAGTTGAAGAAGATCACTGCTGTAATCTTTAGTATGTCAAATATCTATCCACAACCAGGCAGGGCAAACAATAAATAATTTATTTACCTCTTTTAATGAGACTTCTGTATCTTTTTAAGGCAAAAGTGGTACAAATCAGAAAATCTAATGTATAGAATACCAACTTGGCTATTAACCTGCTGCAATATCTTAGTACAGTCTCAGAAGATGGACAGAACAGAGCTCCTTTCCAGAGCGTGCAAGAAAGGAGAACCTCTTACGTTAGCCCAAGGTGTTACAGGGATGCTACCCCTCCTCTGGTCTTTCATCCACTCTGCAAAGAAAACTATGAAAAGGAAAGACTTCTACATTTCTCCACTAACACACAGCTTTAAGACGAACTGAGCAACTCCCACTACTTGGTCTGTTTGGATACATCCCAAGTGTTGAAAGTGCATTGTACGTTTTATACTTCCGAAGATGCTTGTGAAGCAGCACAGCAATGTAGGACTTTGGCAGTACACTTACAACGAAATTTTAGGGACTTTATTAAAAAAATATGTGAGTAACAGTTTCCAACTCTCGCAATTCATTGGAAATATTGTTTTAAGGAATTTTAAGGGAAATGGAAGAATTTACTTAGTTACAAATACAAATCTTGCTTTAGTTTGAGAGGAGTTTGAGTGATCATTCCTGTTGCCTATTTTGTTTTGTACAGCATATTTTCAAATTCACACAACAGGGTGAAATTCAGTGATATTATGTTTATCAGTGGAAAATTCAGCCCTAGCCAGAGAAATTATTTTCTTTATTTCTCCTCTTCTTTACTTCATGTACACTGAAATTAACCTTTCCGGTCAAAAAAAAGATGTAAAAAAACTTATTAGGACGGTCAATGAGGCGGAACTTTTGCTTTGCTTTCCACCAGAAGTAATAATCCCTCCCAACAAGCTCAGAACTTGGAAGCAGATACTCAGTTGTAAGGGATCTTAGCACCCATTCCCTGATTTTCTACTCAAGTCATCCATTATTGTGACATGACACCTTCCCAACCAACTGCTCAGCTGCTCAAAGGTTGGACACAGTTCACAACACACATTAACACTGCTTTTATATTCACAACTTTCTTGTCACCACTGGGTATGACAAAGTCACACACTAGAGACATGGACCAACAAAAGCTTGTTTTAAGCAGGAAATTGAGCCTTGGGGTATGAACTGTTTCTTAAGATTTCTCTGAAAAGTTAGGTGAAAATATTACTGATACTCTCCAGGAACGAGGTGGGATCTTTCTGAGTAGTTGTTACTACATCCCCATCCCCCGCCCCCTCATCCTTAAAATTTCAAATAGATGTAGCTCCTAGGTTTAAAATTATGTACAATTAAGAAATAAAAGCCTTCTCCAGATAAAACAATAAACTCAGCTTGTTAAATATGTATACTTATAGATTTTCATGGTAATTTTTATTCAAAGTAATAAAATCACAATTTTTTTTCTTTTAAAAACCATTTTCAAAATTGTAGAATTTCCTAACATGTTATAAATTCAGCTGAAGTCTAATAGTCCTTTAATAATTTGAGTGATTGAGGTGATGAGGATCTGAAAACTCAAAAGAACTTCTTTCTGAACCTCATTTCTAAACTAGGAAATGGTTTCCTGCATAGATAAACCCTTCTTCTCCAATTGAGATTGGTTTTTTCCCCTATAATTTGTTTTCCTAGCAATATCATCAAATGATCTCTTCATATGAACAAATGGACACAAACGCCACACATGCAATAGCACGTCTTCAATATTATTTTACTCATTCCAAGATTCGAATACTGACACATACACGTAAATATTTTTATGTGCACTAACCCTCCATAGCTGATGTTCCACCACTCTGCATTATTTTTTTTTTTATGACAAGTTTGTGGAGAAAAAGGAATCTGAAAGAGAATCTGGCCAACACTACTTAGCATCTTCAAGATCAAGGACAACGGTGCAGGACTCTCTCACCAATTTTACACATGATACCAAACCTGGGGTAGTGATGGTTTTTTGGAGATCAGGGCTACCTTTCAGAGGGCTGTTGATCAGCTGGAGGAATGGAGGTAACCACTATCAAGTGCATGATGTTCGACAAAGCCAGAAGTGAAGTTCTGAAACTTGGACTGGGACTCGGTGCTATTCTTCAGAAAAGGACTAGAGTGCTTATGAAGCAGAAATTAAATTAAATGAGTCAGCAGCATAACCTTGCAATAATAAATTATAATACTGAGCTGTATTAGCAAGAATCAGCCAAAGGTCAAGGGAAGCAATTAGTCTATTCTGTGCTCATGAGGCTACATCAGAACACACTCTTTACTTTGAACACCTCAGTTCGTGAGAGGGATGGAAAGGCTGGAGGGAGGGCAGTGGAAGGCCACTATTCCGGCCAAGGACCTGGGGCACGATAGCTACACATTGTTTCGGAAGAGAAGATTAGGGAAAATTTAATTGCCATCTTAAATTGCATATTAGTAAGTTAGAGAGAAGACAGTAAAAGGACAGAAAGCAATGGTCACAAGATACGTCAAGGGAAATCCCAACTCCGGATAAGAAAAAATACTTTAGTGGGAGTAATTAGGCACTGGTACAGGTTGCCCCAAAAATATTATTGAGTAGTCATCCTTAGAAATTTTCAGAACTTGCCTAGACAAGGAAGCAATATAACTCTGAAGGTATCCCTGCCTTGAGAGTATGTCCAGAGGTTCCTTTAATTTGATTTACTCTATGAGTCTATGAGTCATTAATAAGAAAGATAAAATCATATCTTATTCCAGCTAAAAGAATGTTCTCAAAGGAGTAAGGGCCCTTCCACTATTTCTTTAGTGGTTTACCACTTAGAGACCTATTAAATATATTTATAAAATTGCTGAAACTATTAATTTTATTTAAGAATTTGCAGAATTGTACCATTTGCATTACATATTTTGCATTCATTTCAATGCAACATCCTGTGTATTTCCAATTTAAAACTACATGATATCAAGCCCCACAGCTTTTAAGGGAATGCTATTTTTAAATACTTACGCTTTGTCTAGAGTTGCTTTATGGAACATAATATTTTAAAACATATGCATATATTGCACATTTAAAACTGTATGTCCATCTCAAAGTCTATAAAATTGAGAAAACATACACATACACACACATGCACATTCAACACGTGAAGAAAAGCTTCCCTCAGTTAGACATAAATCCACATTTTGGTACAACTACACACAGACCGTAAAAAAAACCTTCTATAGCATACATAAAAGTTCTATGTCTACAGTAAGGCAGCCATATGAAGTGGAAAAACAGTCCATCTTTGCTCGGTAAGATACATTACAAACAGCTAAACAAATAAAATTAGCATTTCCTCTCTAAAGCAATTGCCTCAAGTTGTACACGACTTATTTCAACTCCAAATCAGAGCCCATGCTTACTTTAAAAAAAAAAAAGGCATTGTCAAAACAATCTGAAGAGAGAACAGAAGTTTTACTCTCTGAAATCATAGTACCACAGTATTTATTATCTTTAAGACAGAAAATTTATCCATCATTTCACTTTGATGGAGTAAGATGTCAGAAAGTTACCTGTCCATATCAACATCTTCTTGTATATTGTATGCTTAGTGAGTAAGAATACAGACATATAATTTCAACATTTTTTTCTCAAATATCTTTAAATATTTAAATATCTTAAAAAGGTTCAAGAGCTTCATTTGATAAAGCTATCTAAGATGCAAAGGATCAGCCCAAGTTTCTTTCATACCAGTTTAACAGACTTTTGCTACACATGCAACTTCAGTACATTAAATACCAATTAGTTTTATCAAGATAGACACAGGATAAAGCTCATTGTGCTTTTTCTTGGCGTTTAGTTGACACAAATGAAGAGCCAACATACAGGCCTTCTCAGTATTCACACATGGGTACAATTGGTGGATGGTGGTGTATCTATCCGACTTTTATTTTCCTTAGCATCATTCAGAGGTGACTTTTTAACCGTCTGGCATTTGAAGACTTGTTTGTAGGCCTTCCTAAAGTTTTCAGATAGAAATGCATATATAACTGGGTTCACAGAAGAATTGCTGTAAGCCAGGCAGTGTGCAATTACCCTGAAGAGAAAGGAGGCTTGAGTCAGTGGGAAAACTCCAAATTCAGCCCAGAGATGGATCACGTGATGCGGCAGCCAGGAGATGCCAAAAACCACTACCACCACCAACACAGTCTGTGCTGTCTGAGACAAGGAAAGGAAAACACAGATGTCTGATGAGCACTTGAAGAATCAGCTTTAAACCTGCCTCAAAACCATTATTTGGTGGAAAAAAAAGTACACTGAGACAGACCACACTGGAATATTTATTACTGATTTTACCCCATTACCTGTATGGGCTTTATTTTTCATAGTGAACTACTGCAAAGGAGAACCTTAGGCTTGAAAATGCCATAGTAAAATGCAAAAGCGTAACTTTCCTCAAAGATAAAGAATGATGTTCCCAACTCCCTACACAAAAGCCTAGCTTTTTCTGAGGTGGATGTAAGCCTGATGTAAAATAATATTAACAGAGATCTTCGGGAAATCTCATCCAGATCTGATGATCTATATTTTAGTACAGTGCACAAGGACTTCTCATGAAAATTTCAAGAGAGATCTAGTATACATGAAGGTAGCTCATGGAAGAGATTAGAGCAGTCACTTTGCTCAAGTGCTTACTAAAGATGTGGGCATTTTTTTGAAAGTCTCTCCTTTAAAGATAGAATTTCCACAGGGAGTGTCATACAACCACATTCTGGGATACAAGTAGAGGAAAAAAAAAAGATTAAGGAGCTTGAATTTTCTGGTGATTGCATGTTGTCAAAAGCAATCTGGAAATTAAAGCTCACCACTAAATACTGAATTAAAAAAATGGAACACAAAAATATCCTCAGTGCTGCCTCCATATTCCACTTTCACTATTTATGAGACGAACAGCCATCAGCATCATTAGATCCATTCTGACAGCTGCAGAATCAGTTAGTCCGATCCTCCAGGTGCTGAAGGAGTTCTGTCAGGGCACAGTGGAATTTGACTGTCAATGTTTTTTTTAGTTTTCACTTAATTCAGAAACAACAAGTTACCGCTTTGCAGTTGCCTAACTAACTAATATCTACTCCTCTAACAAGTATTCTTTCAACTCAATTAGCCTCCCAATTAAAAGTTGATAATAATTCAAAAGCGTATTATGTTATGGGCCATTATGATGACTATATTAATGCTTTATAATGTAATTTTTCAGAAAACTTAGGCTCTTCTTCACAGCCAAAACTAACCCAGTGACCATAGAGTGATAAATATTGCAGCACAGAAAATATGTTGAGTTTTTGATAGTTTATTGAACTTGGTCTATACTTCTTGAACTGACTAATGCTCAGTAATAATTCAGACTGATCTACCTAATCAGAATATGAGTTGACTTAGAGAAACGTGTGGGGAAAAAATTTTGATTTCTGTGGCAACAGGACAAAATAACTTATGACAGATACCGTTGCTGGTTAGTATAATCTCACAACAGAAACCAGAGGACATTATATCTGTAGTTAATACAATTTGTATAGTCTTAAGCAATCATCTTTTCGAAAGTGGTTCCTCTACTTAGCCCTATGGAGTTTAAGTCATTTGCCACTAAAACAGCCACAGAAATGTTTTCTTTTTCAGGTCTCATCAGTAGAATGTGTGTTAAGAAGGGTGTACAAATTAAGAGCAGTTCATTCTCTGATCACTGTGTTAGATATGTTAATATTCCAAGTGAAAACAGATTTTCAGGATACCACATGTACTTCAAAAGAGGCATGTTACTTCAGTTTGTTTAAAATTCTAAAAAAAAAATTAACTAGGAAAATCACCAACTTTCAGTAGATTATAGATGCACCTGAAAGCAGAGGCTGACCATGTGTCGCTTTTAACTTTTACTGAAGTTATTTCACATCTGCAGAATAAGCAATTTTGCATTAGGAAACCTCACAACATTTGTTTTATCCCTTTGTTCCTCCTAAGCCTAACTTCAGAGCTTACCTTTTCAAAATCATCACTATGTCTTGCAAACAAGGTATCACTAAAGAGCAGCTCTTGTTTACCTAATGGGGGCTTGCTTAGTGTTTCCCATTAGCAAATAAAACCTGCCTGATATATTGTTGATACTAATGCTTGGTAACCAAAATGCATGAAAAGTATAATTTAGGCAAATTAATATTTTTCATTAACTTTTTTCCACACAAACAGTAAATTTATTTTAAGGTTCTGCTACCAAAATATTCCTAAAAGTTTCAATACAGCCACAAATGTGTAATTACACCTGAAATGCATTCTTAACAGGACAGTAGAACGAAATAAAAATAAAAAAGCTACGGTAACCAGAGAAAGCATTAGCACGCTAATGAATGTAGTGTTTGAAAAACCTAAGTTAGGCCTTGGATTCAGAAACTTATTTTCTAAGGCAAAAGAAAAGTTTTGGCTTACTTTTTTTCCCCTTTTGATTACCGAATCCTGATTCATCCAAGCAGTCTTGATCATGTCTGTAATGCTTTACCCTGAAGCTACGAATGCTAGTTCCTAGCCAGATATGTAATTCTTAAGAGTTAGTGTTTAGCAGAATGCACAGATTTCCAGTTTGAGAATAATTTAGATGAGAAATGGCAATATATAGAATGTCTTTGAAAACTACACCATTGGCCTTGACAACATTAAATGCAAACCCGTATATATTAAGTATTTTACAGAATCAGGGCCGTAAAGGTCCTAATTCTAGGAATCGAAATCTATTGACTAGGGTATTTTTCAGGAAAATAGAGAATGCATAAATAATAGCTTACTTATTCCCTGTTGAGCCCATGTACATCTCATTTACATTGCAGACAGTCTGCATGTCCATATGGAAATAATGATCAGATCAAATGAAGAGCTATTGCCTAAGGGGTTTTTCTGACTCCAGTGTCATAAATTGGGAAATTAGTTGATGATTACTGTGGTCAAATCTGTATTATATTAACTGACAATTTCTTGGTATAAACACATCTTTCAGATATTGTTCTGAGTCACAAAGCTTATATTCTGCTTTAAAGACCTTTCATGATTCTACTGGTAGCCAGTATGTAACTTGCATCTTGAATGTAGAACCAAAAAACGCTGTGTGGAAAATCAAAGAAGAATAGGAGAATCATTAAAAATCTCTTATTAGAGACCCTAATTTTAAACATATAACAGAGGAATTCTTTAAAAAAATATTAAAAAACCATCTAATTAAAAAAAATTCCACTATTTAGTCAGGGGAAAATGCCTGTGAGAAAAAAAGACCAAAACCATTTAATTCTAAAGATAGATTGTCTCTCCATGCCTAAATTTCAGATGCTTTGAAGTTCAAAATATGGAGATCTCAGGTAATGGCTTGATGTAATGTGCTGGAAAACTTGGATCGGAAAAGATTCCAATCCTGCTAAGTTCAGAGGGACACTGAATACTTCATGAAATACTTAATTTCAGTTTCTTCTTTCTGTTACATCTTTAGCAACAAGAAATAAAATACCAAATGTGTTTAGCCATAAAACTAAAATATAAACAAATAAATAATAGTAATGAATACAATATACCTTTTTCTTGGATGCTTCTGACTTCTTTGACATGTTTCTCAACTTCTTGTGCAGGTGGTTAAGAACCTGAAAAGATTAATTTGCATCTTGTATTGTATTTCACCATTTCCTATTCAAATAAAATTCAAACCCACATATCTTAGAGTATGCTCTTCTGCACTATATGATTCCCTTACAAGCATTGCTGCCCAATTTACACATTTCCAAAGGTCACAGTATGAAAACTGAAGGAAATACATATCTGCATCTGTATGAATCCACAAATATGAAACAGACCACAACTGAATTCTTATATAAAAATTCAGACATATTACAGTAAAAATACATGTTATGAATTAACAAGGAAACCCATCATGCACCTAGAATTAGCAACCACTCTTCTTCCATTAAAAGCAAGACCTTTACTGAGTGCAACACAAGAAAAATATATTTTGAGTCAGAGTTTTTCTGAGTCACCTGAGTAATTTCCTTCTTTCAGATGGATTTTTGATTAATATAATCAGGATGCTGGCACTACTTGATCTTCAAAAGAAGCTTGGGCTTTCAAAAAAAATTTATACCAAAATGAGGCACAATATATGAGGTGTGACTTTTATCAACAGTTTGATGATATTCGCCATGCATCTTTCACGAGTAATTTTTAAAAATATGTTACAAAAAGGCTCATCATCCAAGAGCAGGATCCAAATTTCAACACAGTACTTTACACATAAGATTTTGGATAGTGGATGCACAGACTATGCACAGACTACTTTATCTGCAGTCATTATTACCTGAATCCAGTATATTCTTATGGCATGATTTGTAGGTATGGAGAGCAGGGAATGTGCTCTTCAGCTGAATATGTTTAACATACTACAAACCATACAGAATAAAAAAGATAAATTCTTATTAAACTGGAGGATTTAATTAAAATATGGCAAGAGGAATTTTTTAGAGATAGCATCAAAGTGAAGGGCTCTGTTAGACGATGCTGCTAGGTTGCATTTTACATTGCTCTAAGATGAAATGAGAATGATATAAAAGGTAAGATCATCCAGATTTAGTAGGTAAAATAATCCAGCTTTAAAATATTTTTTTTAAGGAATGTAAATTTTATGGTCCATAAGGACTTCTTAAGGTGGGGAAAAGGGTGCAAATTCAAGTTCTTTTATATCATCTGGGCACATTTTCTTTGTTTTCTTTGGGGAGCACACCTAACCACTACCAGGATAGACATCAAAGGTACCTAGAGATATGATCCCACTCTGGCATCTGAGTCTTAGAGAATTAAAACAAATAAATTGGTATTTGTGAATAACCATAGCTCATCACCATATTCCACTTTTTAAGTGTCTACTCTTAGCTACCAGTGAACCAAGAACAATAATAAGACTAATATTAATTGTATCCACTTAATATTCTAAGTGCAGTCTGTTTGTGGTTGTCTGTGCACTAACATGTGAAAGACTCATCCTGCAAGCACTTCCTATTCTGAAACACTATCCAGGCTGCCACCAAGACTAACCTGAGCTCAGGAAAAGCTGGGAAAAAATAAATCAGTTTTCCCTGAGAAGGTCCCCTTTAGGCTTTATTCCTACTTTCTTCTTTAGGATGAAGCAGACCAGAAAATGACAGAGGAAACCCTGAAGTCCATCAGAAGATCAGGAAAATAACCATCTGGCTCACAGACTTTTTATTCACTTACCATCACCCTGTACAAAACAGCTGAATTGCTGGGTCCATCGATGAAAAATGTAAAACTAAAAAAAGGGCATGCAAGGAATAAAATTAAGTTCACTTCCCATCACTGCTGCTTCATCTATCATATCTCCTTCACATAATTTACAATGACGGGCTGTTTCACTGGACCCTCACAGCCCGAGACTAAAATCAGATAAACTCGTCCCAGAAATCAGATCTGCAAAGTCTTTTTTTAAAGTTACAAGTATTTTTGTCTTCTGTGCTTAAACTTTTAGCACAAATTTTTGCATTGCATCTCTCTCCAATCCAAAGAAAGATGCAGTAGACAAAACTGTTAAATTGGATATTTGGTGGGGATGGGAGATGGTGGTGGAGAGTTTTGGTGCCAATTTAGATGATAACTTTAAAATGAATCCTTTTCAACTTCCCCTCTTTCAGATTATATATATATTTCATAAAATAAGCATCTGCAGTGAAAACATGCTGGCTCTAGGTAGCAGTGTACCAGATGGTATGCAAACTAGCAGCAAGAGAAATATGCAAAATGCAATTACCTATCAACATCAGCGGAACAGCACTCAAAGACCTACACAGAATGCCATGGAGGGATAAAAAGAGCTGTGTTTATGCACAAACACTACAAGGCAAATGAAAAACACTCTCCTTATCGCCCATTTCAAATTATCTCTTCTCTGGGCCAATGAATACTAAATTATTCCTCTAAGAGCCACTGGCTTTACCTGAATGAACAATAATTCTACAAGCAACTCTTTGTCTCAGGCTATTTGTCTCAGGCTATTTCTCCTAAGAAAGTATTTCAAAATATCCACTAATACATTTGCATGTATTAGTGGGTACATTTGGACTAATAGATTTACATTGCATTTTTAACCTATGGAATTAAATACCCAGCTTGCTAAAAAACAGGTCCTAACCTGTTCTCATAAGGTGTAACATTTTTTTTAAAAAATTAAGCTCTGTAGAAAAGAAACATGAAACTTTTCTAACTCCAGCTTTCATGTCCCTGTTCTTAGTTGGCTCTGAGGGAAGGAACAGCTTTTCTGTCTTCCCATCTGCATGTATACAATAATTCCACTGACTACACCTTCATTATCAGCCACTGAAAATCATGCAGAAGGAAATCATGCAGAAGGAAAGCCAGGTCATTATCTAATAAGAATGAACTGCTTGTTTAACAGAGCCATAATGTAAGCATTACATTCTGAACCATCTCGGTAGTATGAACCTGATTTAAATTCAAGTGCCATTGCCTGCAATCCATGTTTTAAAGTAATGCTGCTACTTCTATTGTCACAATAGATCCTTCACCCTCTTTCAATTAAGTGTGTCACTCTTTTCAGTGCAGTTTAATAATTTTTCCCCTTGCTGCTCAGCAAAATTTAAGATACAATATCTGAAGCCAAAAACCACATAAGCTTGTATCTTATGTTGAGGCTCTTACTTTTTATGGCTTAGTTTTAACCAATTCTATAAGTCATACATGACTTCTGCGAATTCAGAATGCTCAGAATGATAGATAACAATGGAAACACTCCCAAGGCAAGACATAATTGTTTTTAAAAAAGCTTTTAAAATCATACATCTATAAAAGGAAAAGTTTGTTAATAATTACAGGTGTCCGACCTAAAGGCTTGATTGAAGGAGGCCTGATTTTCAAGGACTGAATCCTTGAAAAGCTGTGGTATCCAAAATTAGTTGTCACATTGCATGACCCTAGCAGGTGCCAATTTTTGTTAGAAGCTGTCTGGGAATCATTTATCACTTCACTCTTTAGGAACACATTAGTGAGCAAATGTTATAGCACTGTTACAAAGCACACACAGAAAAGTCAGTATTAAAAAAATATGGCAAGTAGTATGATAAGCAATGGAAAAGTCAGAATACAGACTGTCTACAAGTATGCAGTGCCGTGACTCAACTAAAAATGACATAATCACCTTTCCTCTCTCTTGAGTAGTAAACTTCTTTCAAGATTAAGTCTGTGAGGCAACAAACGCTTGTTTCCTACAGATTTCTGACTTCTTGACTGTGTCCCCAAAAAGATATGTCTTCTCCATACGTTGATGCTACATAAGACCTCTTCCCCTATGGCTTGTCTGATGTTTAGGAGTTGAGTGCAAACTGACTCTCCTTAAGAGAGGATGATGGAGACTTTCTACCTTCTTCACTCATTGGCTGCTGTTTTCACAAAACTAGGGAAATATCAATCCTCCTGATATTTTCACTTCTCTATCAAAAATTTGGCTGAAACTGAAGCAAAGTTATTTACGGAAGAGAGAAAAGGTGAAACTGTACACACAAGACACAGAGCACAATCTCGTGAATCTCTACTTGAAGAGCACATCATGTGAGGTATTTTGGGAAGACACTGTTTCCAAATACCTGGCAGTATCAGGACTTCTGCAGGTTATCCACTGGGGAAGATATAAATCTTTTCTAATACAATTTAGGGGGAAGAGAGAGAGAGAGAGAAAGAAAGAACTTGGCTCCCTATTAGAGTGCCTAAAAAATGAGACTTTCAAAACTTGAAAGTTCAATTGCAATTTGCTTATGAAAGAAACAGAACTGCCTTAAAGCAACCTGGAAAAGGCAATATATTCAAGTAGAGAAATTAGTCTCCTTTGTCTTAATCTGTATCAGATCTTAATCTGTATCAGAAGATTGCATTATTTCACTGATCCACTCTTCATGAAAATCAGTGAAGTCCATAAGAAACTAATGCAGAGACTAACCTCTCCTATGAAGACAGGCTGAGAGCTGGGGTTGCTCGGCCTGGAGAAGAGAAGGGTCTGTGGAGACCCTTTGCCAGTCTTCCAGTACCTAGAGGAGGCCCATGAGAGAGCTGGATAGGGACTTTTTATGAGAGCATATAGTGATAGGACGAGGGGTCACAGCTTTAAGCTGAAGGAGGGTAGGTTTAGATTAGATATTAGGAAGAAATTCCTTGCTATGAGGGTGGTGAGGTACTGGAACTGTGGATGCCACATCCTCAAAAGTGTTCAAGGCCAGGTAGGATGGAGCTCTGAGCAACTTGGTCTAGTGGGAGGTGTCCCTGACCATGACAGGGGGTTTTGGAACTAGATGATCTTTAGGGTCCTTTCCAACCCAAACTGTTCTATCATTCTATGGTCTTTATAGTACTTCTGATGGTATTCCACAGCAGCAATCCTCTAACTCTGTGTGCATTCAGAAGCCAAAATACTTGTTGTACTTCATAAAACTTTATTAACATCAATAAAAGCTTGCAGTGACCAATTTACTCAAGATTTGTCAGAGTAGCAATGGCTTCGAGAAATCTGAAACTTCGGCTCTGATTTTCAGCTACTATCATCCTTAATTTCTTCCTCACTCTGCCCCAAGTGCCCAACTATTGGAGGTGGAGATTTGCCAGTGGTTCCTAATGAGAGCAGGAACAAGTAGGGTACAAGCTGTGGGGTACAAATACCTTCAATAGCCTTGTACATGTCATGGCATTTTGCAGCATCATTGACACTGATGGGAATACCAGGTATTTCCTAGGTATCTTCTAAAACTCAGGCCTTCAGGTTAGATCTTCCAGTCTGACACCATGGCAAGCAGGATAATACATATAGACTCAAAACTCATCACCAAGCAAGCACGACATCCTAGCCTGGCAATAATTTAAGCACATGACTTTATTGTAATATTAAGTGGCCTTGATTTCATTGACTTGTTGTGGGCATGTTTTTGCATAGGGTTGCTATTGTTGGCTTGGGGTTTTTGTTGTGGTTCTTTTGGTTTTGTTTTAACTATATATTCATACTAATATTGAGATATCTACTTTTGTAGAGGTGCTTTGTAACAACAGGATGTGTTATATTTACTATGCATATATTTTGATTAGCGTATTTCTTTCTTTCCTCCCTATATTGTGCAGGACTATCCTAATTTAGAAAGTATTGTTTTCAGTTTTCTCTCACATAGACTTTATACTGAAATTGAAGATGCTTTGGCTTTGAAATAGGGAAAAATTAGTAGCTGAAAAGCTCCCTCTCCACTCATTCTGTAACATTCTCTGTGCAATATGTAGTGTTTTCCTCAAACTGATGATCTATGGCTACAGCTCAGTCTTATTCACCACTATAGATGAAATACCAGTGTATTCACACAGGGAAAGCAGTATTCAGTTTATGTATGAAAACATGCATTTCTTCTTCATTTGCCAGGTTGGACTTGTTTCGCTACAACCAGTAATTTAGAAATATTGTCCTTTGAGCTCTGCATGCCTTGATTTTAGCAGAGTCAGATGCCATTCTAGTCTCAATTTGCACCTCACAATTACACTGATGTAATACAGAACAGGACATAAAATTCTTGGATCAAATTAACTACTTCAGGTACATCTATTGAACTTGCCAATTAAAGAACTGTGTTCTCAACACTTAAGCAGTCCTTATCTGCAAGAGCAGTCCTATCCTCTCAAATGTAAATCACTGCCCAAGGAGAAATCCTGCAGCTGAAGATTGCTGGCACAGAAACAACAGGATCTCTGCCTAACTCAGCAGGTAGCAACTTGTGTTCCGGATCCTGTTCAGCAGCAAGCAGAGGGTCCTATGCTGAAGGCTACAATTATTACACACAGAAAAATAAGCAGAAAAGTCCTTAAATACCTGTATTTAGGTACCCTTGCTTATTACTTTTTCCTGTGTGGGTCCTCATGCCCTGCTCCCTGGAACTACCTTCCCTTGCTGAAGTCAGAGGCAAACCTCCCATCAGCTTCAGGTGGGGCAAGACAGGGCACATAGGGACCAGGCAGTGGGATGCACATTCTGCTCTTCATGTGTTAACTGGACCAGACCAAACTGGTAGTTTGTGTCTTTTTTAAGTGGACTGCATTTTAAAGAACGCCTGTGAAGCCTGGACAACTTGTTGCTTTGTTGTACTTCATTGAGTTAAACTCCTCATACAGCACTGCAAGAAAATAGAAGAGTTGTGGTGACAGAGAAAGCAGCAGAGCACTGGGGCTTCTCAGCATTCTGCAACAAGGAAATCTGGCAGAGAGACCCCAGTAATTGTCAAAACTACACCCCACCCCCCCGCTCACCTCATGCAATCTCTGTTTTGACCTGTACCACTGCACAGATGTCGTCCCCTCCCAGCTATAAAACCTGCTCCCTCCTCTTGTGCCACTGCACAGATGTTGTCTCCTCCCAGCTATAAAATCTGTTCTCTCCCTTTGTGTCATAAATTCACCCCTACTCCTTTTCCTCCCAACAGTGCCACGTCCTTACACATGCCCAGAAATGACCCTACCACCATCCTTGACATCTACCACCATCATACTCCCCCATTCCTTTTACATTTGCCTCACCTTGGCATAGCAGAAGGTGATGAGAAGCAGTGGCAGCAGATATCCAAAGACGAATGTGCAAACCACGTAGACCTTCTTGTGGCGTGGGTTGGGCCAGTGCTCCCAGCAAAAGGTCTGGTTGCTGGTCTCACGGTGGAAGATGCGCTGGTGGTGAGCCACAGGTGAGGCCATGGCGAAGGAGAGTGCCCAGATGAGCCCCACACCCACCAGTGCATTGCGGGGAATGCGCAGGGCTGAGGAGCGCCGGGAGTGCACAATGGCCACATAGCGGTCCACGGACATGGCCGAGAGCGTGAAGATGCTCACCAGCATGGAGATGGTGAAGAAGTAGTGGATGAACTTACAGATGAAGGCACCCAGCACCCAGGTGGGGAGCACATAGACCGTAGACTGGAAAGGAATGCAGAAGAGTAGGTAGGCCAGGTCCGCGATGCTCAGGTTGAGGATGAAGATGTTGGTGGTGCTTCGGCGCTTGCCTGGCTTGCTCCTTGCCAGCACCGTGATCACCAGGGTGTTGCCCAGCACCCCCAGGGTGAAGATCAAGCCGAAGACGATCAAGGTGATGAAGTTCTCGATGCCGATGCCGAAGAGGGGCTTCCCCTCCTCCTCTGGCAGCCCAGAGAGGTTGAACTCCCCGCGGGGCAGCTCTGCCACAGCTCGGGACCCGTTGAGGGGCCCCGCCGCGGGCTCCCGCGGCTCCATCCTTCCCCTTCCGCGCCGGGCAAAGTTCCCGCGGGCGGAACGCGGAGCCACCGCTCCCCGGCACCGCGGACGGCGGTGAGCCAAGGGCGGCCGCCCCACCAGCGCCGGGAGGCGGCGGGGAGCGGCGGGTGCCACCGCTTAGGGCGCTCCGGCGCTCGCAGGGGCGCGGAGCCTGCTCGGCAGCCCCGCCGCCCCCCGCAGGCAGAGCCCACCCGACCTGTCCGCGGGGACCCCCTTCCCCGCTGCCACCGCGCCCGCCCCGCGCGGCGCCGGAGTGTCCACGACCCCCGCTCTGGTAGTGGCCGCCCGCTGCTCCGGGAGACTGAGCTCCCCAGGAACGTCTTCTCGGAGAAAGAAAGGGTGGGGTTTTTTTCCTCCCTCCTTATTTTCCCCCACCCTTTTCTTCCCTTCTTTCAGCTTGTGATTGCCCACGCAGGGCGGCAGTGGGAGCGCGGGGCGGTCCGCGGGCAGGAGCGGAATCCCAGTCCTCTCCGCAGAAAACTTCTCTCTGCTTGGTGCCTCCACTCCTAGGGAGACTCGGGAGCCGCGTCTGCCAGAAAGGCTGGGCGGCGTTCGGCAGGTCCGGCCGGGCTTAAATGAACTCTCTTGGAAAGACAGAAAAAATGAAGTGCCTGAGTGAACCCACCTCAACAGGTAGCCAGACGGCAGCAAGTCCTTCAGGCTGAACACTGCCTGTGCTCATTGTTTTCACCTCCTTCACAGGTTTCCATTAATCGGTCCGTACTATGAAGTATCTCAAAGGACAAAAGGTGGCAGACGTTGTCACTCCTTAAAAAAAAAAAAAAAAAAAAAAAGGGAAAAGGGAAATCTAATCTAGCCGCTTTTCACTGCCAAATCACAGCTCCCGTTGTGAGCTCTGCCGCGGCAGGACCGCATCCCCGCTGAGGGCCAGCAGGCTCCTTGGAGCTGGGAAGACGCAGGCAGTCCTAAACGGTGCCGACATGGGAGCTCCTGAAAATCCAGTCTTTTCAGAATGGGGTGAAATATAAAACTTCCTCCAAAATATGGATACGAGTTCATGTGAATATTCTCATCGGCATATCTGCGTTATGAATGAAACGGATTTGCCTGAAGGTTCTTAGCCGCTTGTTTCAGAATTACCAGTCAGGGAGCTACAGCTGGCAGCAGCAGTGACCAACAGAATCGTCCAGATGCGCTGTTGGAGGCAGTGAGCTCTTGTTTGCATATTTTTCAGTCTGCAGTTTGACAGGTTTTTTTTTCTACCTTTCTTTTTGCTACTTATATTGAAGCATTTCAGCAGCTGCACATCAGCTGACTGCAAAGCTATTGACTTCTGCAGATGTAGATTTTAATTAAACTTACATATGGTCTGCTCCATTATGTCCAAAGGAACACCTCATGGGAGAACACAATTCAGTTTATATAGATCTTAGAAGCTTACGTGGATCGAGCTGTTTTATGCATCTGTTGTAACTCGGTTAAGAAGTTGCAAATGTATTAAGCAAAAATGAACGATCAAAGATTCCTCAAACACTTGGGAGTTGTTTATTTTTTCTAATGTGCATTCTTTATAATTTTTTGACATGTTTGATTACCATGCAAATCTATCAGTCTCTACTTCTGCAAGTGATTTGAGAAAGAACATTGTTAAACATTTCTAGGATGTCACACACTTTTTTGGAAGTGCTCTGAGTATATTGTGAAAATTAACAGAAGTCGCTATAGATTTTCCTAGTGTTGCTGATGACTATGTTTGACTATGAATTCCTTCATGTGGTGAGTGAGATACAGGAAACATCTTGAATACCTCTGATGTTTTGCTTTTGAATCACGTCTTGTTGCCAGACATTGCTCTTTTTCTGGGATGCCAGGAGTGCAAACTTGGCTTTAATGGAGTTAATGCTAACAATTACATTGATAACAACTTTCCACCTGAAATGCTGTGTTAATCCTCATCACTCACACTTCTGTTTTCTTGAGAAATGGTATCTTTTGAACAGTATAGCCTGAAAGGTGACCAAAGAATGTCAGACTTTACAGACAAGTAAGAAGGAAAATTGGTTACAGAAACAAAATTAGTTTTAGGGAAAAGTACCCTGAAAATCACATTAGAGATTTGGATGGGAATGTTCACTCTATTAGTTTCCTTTAGATATTTAATTGACAGTTTCATAGTTCAAGCTTTGCTTTTCTGCTACATATCGATTGTAAAGTAGTCTTATAGTTCCTATAAGACTGCCCTGAGCATTACGTGGAAAAAAACTGAGAATACAACTATATTGCAGTTACTCTGTCAGACCTTCAGGCTTCAGCCTTTACATGAATGAAGTTCCCACATTTACAGCAGTCATGATTGCTGTTAAGATTGTCATAACAAAACAGGTGTTGACATTTTAATCCACTGCTCTTCTTATCTAGACTGAGTAAAATTTTCATGCAATAGAAAGTTCAGATGAAAAAGTTGTTATGGATTCAGTACAAATAATTATCTAGTTAAACACATAAAGTAGTCGAAAAAGTAGGTAAAAAAACCAGTAAAAAATTTGCATTACACTTTAGAAGAACAGATTTCAGATCTTTGCAAAAGGGATCTCTTAAGTATGTGCCTCATGCCTTTCCTTGAATCTAGTTTTATTGAGTCTAGTCCTGAACACCTTTTGACATGAAGAGATCTACTAAAACTAGAATAGAATATGAACTTCAGAAAGAGCAAGAAATTAAATGCAGTGTTCTTCTGTCTGTAATAGAATCCACAGTTATCTTTATCTGATGATAGTTCACCTCCAAAAAGTTATTTGGCTCCAAAATTTTCCATAGCAATTAGAGGAGAAAATAATAGGATATATCTATAAAGGAGATGGGAACCTGTGTACCCTGTTAAATGTAGACCTCCATATTTACTCCTCAGTGGCTTAAACAGGAAGATATGGTGCAGCACTTTCACCGCTGCGACCCGGGTTCGATTCCCAGCCCCCCGGGCAGATGGAGCTCGTCAGCCCTGTGTGGCAATCCATCTAAGAGAAGGTCACTCTAAACAAAAACCTACGTTCTGAGACCCTCACTGCCACTGTCCAAGCTTGCTTGGCCCCGGCAGATGAACCTCAGGATTAAAGGGTGGGCTCAGTTCAGCGCACGCTGGGTCTCACCTAAAAAATCCACTGTGCAGGCTCAAAGGGTTAATGACCTTTCCCAAATCTTCGCTCGCGAAGACTGGCCATTATTATTATTATTATTATTACTGAAAAAGCATACCAGAACATCCTTCCTTTTGCTCACTCCAGTGGTTAGGTATCTTATTTTTATATGATTCCAATAATGAAAATATTTCACTTACACTGGTATATTTTTGTTTCAGGAATGAGAAATCACATAAAAATCTGACACATAATAGGACATACAACTTTCCTAAGAAGTTTTTCAGTAACATACTGTATAAATTCTTTTTTTCTTGTTTTTTTTTCTATGGTGTAGTTGAAGCTAGAGTTGAGGTTCAAGGCTCTAAACTACACCCCAGGGAAACAATTTAAAGTGTACTAATTTTAAAGCATATGAGTAGCCCTAAATTTTAGAAATCTTTTGACAACTTAGCTCTTAGCTGATTTACCAGTTTTCCTTGCTGCAAAAAATATTCTCCAGATTTGGTTGTGTTTTGTTTATAAAACACAAGACTGAAAACAGACTTATTTTGCAGACTGACTCTTCTTATTTATTTGTGAAACAAGATCAGGCACAATAGTCACATCAATTTTACCCCATTATTTATGACAAGTTCCTGGAGTAGGAATTTGCATTATTAAGGCAGATGTGAACTTTAAATATAATTCAAAAGCGAAATAAAAAAAGTTCATGATTCATAACCAACCTTTGAGTCGCCTTCCATAAAGTTATTAGTGTGTAAAAGTCAAATATCTATAAGCATTAACTCACCTTCTATCTATATTCTTGGAAATAATGTAGCCCTCAGGTCATAGTTGTCTCTACATCAGATTTCCACTGTGGAGAGGTGTCACCAATAAACTGAAGTTTATTGCTTCTTGCTGACATTTAGAAAGAAGTAAACATCTGCCCATATACATTTGAGAGCTATTGTCATTCCATCCCAGAGTTTGCAATGATTTTTTTTCTCCTAGTTCTCTACCCCAGTTCTTGAAAATCACTTCTAAAAAAGATTTTAAAGTGCAGGCAATCAAAAGAAGAAAAGTAAATTTGAAGCTACAGTTCCCAAAATCCCATTCATACTTTGTATTACTATTTAATGCTTTAAAGTAATACATTTAGTCTTAAAAATTGTATACAAAAACATGTACCCATACTTTATTCAATGCCCAGCAATTTTCTCTGTGAAAATGCCAAAAGCTAATCACCATGGCCTAGCAACATGAAATTGCTTTATAGTTGTTGAAAAGGGTTGCTTGTTTCATTTTCCTTGATTTGAGACAATTACCCCATGGAATGTTTTTTAATGTTGGCTGCAGAAGCAACTTGCCTGTGCATAAAAACACAGCTGTGTTTTGTCTAAAACTGAGAGCATCAATATCTGTTATTCCTTGACAAAACAGAATCAAGAGTATTTTGATGAACTCTTGTAATACAATATAGCACAACAGAGCAGGTCTTATAAAACTCAGGTATCCAGGTCGTGGGCACAGCATTTGTAGAAGTCGTTTAAATGAACACTTATTCTACCTTCAAACAGCTTTATAAATTGTACATCTGACTGGTTTGAAGTGGTAGGACAAGAATAGAAGGCTTAAGTTCTGTAAAATGAACTTCAAGTTTCTAGGTAGGAAAAATGGAAACGCAGGCTACTGAAGGTACCTCACCCACGTGGGAAACATCGAAGTTACCAAGGCTGAAAGAGATCACAGTGGAAAGAAGTAACTTGGAAAGCATGAGTGCTGCTGAAGCAGGTGTGTGCTGCTGGTAAAGAAACCGGGAGTTTGCAGGTTGCTTTGTCTCAGGTCAGCTCCAGGCACAGGCCAAGAAAGCAATTTGCCAAAGGCAGTGAATAGGCTGAC